CTTGCATCCATCTACCATTTCTCAGGTACCATTATGTTCCTTCTCAGGTCTTTGATGGGATTGAAGACTATCAGTTATAGTTACAACTTAGTATATATAATATCTTAGATAGAACATATTAAGTATTAGATTCAGGTTCTTAGGATAGGACACCTTTGAATGATCTTTATAACATGCCATTTACCTATGCTCTATACTTCTCTGGATTTTAGTATGTGTTTCTTGCTTGATATTGTTTGCATTGGTTGTAGTTACACCTTGTCTAGGTCATTATCCCTCATTATTTGGACAATATTTGATAACCATTCCTTTGAATATAGTCTTGTATTAGTTTAGAACCTTCTTATTTAGACAAAAAGGGGGAGATGTAGTGGGTAGCCATTCCAGCTTGGATCTGGAAGTTCCAACCCCCATTGAGACTCTGGCAACTGTCACGCCTACGAGGTGGGGCAAGGGGAGGCGCCTGGAGACCCAAGAGCAGGATGGGCCAGCACTCTCTCTGTGTGCTCTCTGTGCCGGGACGCTGAATGTTGGAGGTGAACCAAGCAGAGCTCCAGAGAACGCCGCTGGACTGAGATACACCTTTCCTAGACCCTGCGACCTACCTATCACTTAATTTGTGAGTTACGCCATTAAATAAATATCCTTTTAACTACATGGAGTGGCCAAAATAATTTCACCAATAGTCTGGCTTTGTAGAAATAAACCCAGGGCCCTCCCCCCTCCTTCCCCTCTGTAATAAATATTTTTAATGATTTAGGATGAGATCATGGTAGAAATGTACAGAATGAAGTAAAAAATAAAAACCCATCATCTTTTAATATCAGCTTTTAAGTTATGAAATGCTAAAAAAAAAAGACTTGAATTAAAAACTCCTACTTTTGAACCACTAAAGAACTGCCAAGGAACGATTTTCCTATGCATTGTATGTGAGGCAGGTTTGGGTCTAAGTTAGAGGGTCTAAGTCAGTGTTTTGTTCATCTGAACTCCCACTTAACCTCTTCCAAACCATATCAAGGTTCAGTGTTTTCTCTCCAACAGCTGTATTTCATTTTAGGGGTGCATAGTATCAAAATATGAAAACTGAATATTCAGAGCCCTAGGGAAGGGTTCAGAGAAGAAGCTTCACTTTTCCCTTTACAGTTTAGCACAGAGAGATGTGTGTTGCAGCTGGGTGAGCCAATTTAATGAATTTAATCACTAAACAAATAAGTTTCAAGAAAGCAAACCTCACAGAAAGACAAACGGCTTCGAAAGATTCCTCTGGAGAAAACATACAACACACACTTAACTTAAGCAGCACAGAGACGTGCCAGGAGTTGCCTGGCTTTGTTTGTTTTGTTTTGTGAGACAGGGTCTGTCTCCATGATCACAATTCTGGCTCCCAGTTGGAGGAAGGAGAAGGACAAATGACTCTTTTCTTTATCCTATTCTGAGTTTTTGTTTATCAAATTTGCAATCAAGCCATGTCTGAGGTAAACTTATCAAAATATTTGCATATGGATTTGTTTCCAAAGAGTATATCTTATCTGTTATTAACTGATTGTTTTGCTTAATACATATGTGAGCAAATGACTGCACAAGGGAATTTTGCTTTTATAGAACATGAGAGGAAATCTAAGTATAGACTGAAACCTTTGATGTACTTCTCATCTCTTTCAACTTAAAAACTGTAGAACAAGACCCATTTCTTCTTGTTTTCTGTGTAAAATGGATAATGCACAGTGTCTAGTAATTGTTTTTTGAAATTAAATTGCACAATATTGGTTAATTTTATTTACTATTTTTCATATAATCACTATTTTGCTGGGACTAAATACAATTGTCCTTTTTAAAACCCCAAATCGCCTAACAAAACAGATAATTATGTTTACTGTAGTTTTGCTTTACTTTTTGTGGAAGAGGTGACACTGGGAGCAGATCTAAGTATCTTGAGTGTGCTGCGCAAGGACCCCCTCAGTGAGCCATACCTATGAGCATGCTGGGCAAGGACCCCATCAGTGAGCTATACCTATGAGCATGCTTGGCAAGGACCCCATCAGTGAGCCATACCTATGAGCGTGCTGGGCAAGGACCCCATCGGTGAGCTATTCCTATGAGCATGCTCGGCAAGGACCCCATCAGTGAGCCATACCTATGAGCATGCGGGGCAAGGACCCCATCAGTGAGCTATACCTATGAGCGTGCTGGGCAAGGACCCCATCAGTGAGCCATACCTACAGCCCTCCTGCTGTGTTCATCTACTCTGGAGATGAGAGAACTGAAGGGCAGAGGAAAAGATCAGTTTTTCTGAAGACAAAGCCATAGCTACAAGTCTTAAAGCTGACAGATGAGCACAACTAGTTTTGCTGCTGGGCTGAGAGCAGTTTTAAATTGGTGCCACACCAATGAGCATCAAGGACTGCAAACGGTAATCCAGGATACTTGTTAGGTCCTAGACACTCTTCATTGAGTATCCAGGTTCTATTTGGTGAAGATTCAAAGGAAAATCCTCAGTTCTATTGCTGAGAGTTCACAGAGCAATGTGCAAACTGCACAAATAACCCAGTAATTGTGAGTGCTGTTACAAAAGATAATATGAAGTTTAAGTTGGAATTCAAAATTGAGTGCAATAAAATCTGAGAAATCAAGGGAGCTTAAGAAGGCTCAGTTTACATTGATTTAAAGTAACTAATAATGATGCAATGAGAAAAAAACTAAAAAAATATTTTAGCTGGAAAATTACAAGGAGAAACAGAGATATGTGAGAGTGTTTGGCTTCAAGAGGGAAGCAGTGTAAAGCAGTGCTCTCCAAACTTTAGCCTGAAAATACCTGTGTGGGATTAGAAAAAGAAGTGTACACTCGGCTGTGACGGTTCATGTTTTAACCTGACTGAGCTTACTGCAGGTAGGTATTAGTCAGCTGATGTGAAGACCCATGGTAAGCATAGGGACTTCACAGGAGCTACTTTGCTTTATATTTTATATTATATAAAGCCTTAGGTACCCACAGGACCTAGGCTTTCTATGGATGCTGTGGAGGGAGCTTTGTCTACTTTGTATCCACAGAACCTCCCTCCCAACCTTCTCTGAAGAAGTACAGTGCAGGTACTCCTCCCTAACAGATAATGCAAGGAACAGTAGCAAAAAACTAAAATGGAAATTCAGCTTCTACAAACAGAGGTGGGAGAAATGCAATCAAAAATGACCGTGGCCCCATAGCATCCAGAGACCACCTATGTGGCAGTGTCACAGTGACTCTCCGCACAGTTGACATTGCAGAAAGTATCTCCAGACCTAGACAGAGTCCAGTGTCTCACGGACTGCATGAGCTGTCAATCACCTTCTTCTTACTCCTGTGGCTCCTTGTTCCTTCCCTGCCTTTCAGGAAAGAAAAATGTCTGTCAGACATTATCTTGAACCTGTGTTTGAGTTTGGAAGAATGAGTAGCAGATAGTAAAGAGAATTCAGCACTTGGCCACCCTTTCTCCTGCAAGCTATCTACAATGACGAGACACTGACTGGAAGTACAGAGACCAGCTTTAAGGCATCCTCAGGATGAAGTAAGGGGAATAAGATCTGAATGGTGAGCGATGGTGAATTTTGACTGTGGACTCCACACAATGTGAAATCACCTGGGTAGAGAGTCCCAGTGAGAAGCTGTTAGATCATGTTGACCTTTGGGAGTGTCTGTGGGGAATTATCCTTACCACAGTAACTGGAGTAGGAAGACTGTCTACTGTGTGTGTCACCATTTCCTTGGCAGGAGATCCTGGGCTCCATAGGACTGGGAAAAGCAAGCTGAACACAAGCAAGCTCTCTGCTCTTGATTGAGGATGCAATGTAACCAGCTCCTCCTGGCTCTTGCCACTTCGAGACTCCCTGTAATGGTGAACTGTAACCTTAACTTATGAGCCAAACAAACTCTTTCTCTCTGAGTTGCTTTTTTCCCAATATTTAACCACAACATTAGAAAAGAAAATAGAGTGGGAAAATGTGGCCCTCTTTCCTCATGATGTGAACTCTTAAGGTGTTCAGAGTGTGTAGAGGGGTTTACACAGGTGAACAACTGCTTCTTCCCAGACCTGCATACAAAGCCTCAAACAAAAGTCTGCTATAGACATTCATGAAGCTCAGAAAGAACAAATACTCAACATAGCTCTGAGGACTTGGGCTGCGATCAGCTGTGGTAGAGTATAATCACTTTTCTATGATTGACTCTGATCTTTTCTATGATCTCACTCTGATCTTCATTTTTTTCCTCTGTAAAACAAATACTAGCCGTTGTGTCTTATGAAATTCTTTAGTGACTGATGAAATAATGCATGTCCAATATCTGAAATCAGAGCAGCAGAAGCGAGTGGAAGCTGCTGAGACTAGAGTGACTTATGATTTACACATTCTATAAATGCACATTCATGGCAGTCTCGAAGGTCACTTCCAACACCAAATATCCCAAGGTGCCCATCTCATTTTAGAGCAGTTCTGTCTGGTTGGGGTGGAGTAGAAATCAGGACCCGTGCTGTCCTTGACAAAGTGTGTATAAGAATGAAAATGGCAGACCTTGTAGACTGCCAAATGCAGCGCTGGAAACCCGTTTCTTGTCAGTCTGGAAGGACGGAGCCCTTTTAACATAAGGGCGCGGACATGTGACTTGTTGCCTAGAGAGAAATAATAAAGGTTGATTTATTGCAGGGGTGGACTAAAGGACTTCACCATCTCTCTTTGACATAAGGATAAATGCCATTCTGACATGTGAAAATGTCAGCCCACCACTCAAGCCCATTCCTAAGCAATTCTGTTCATTGGCAGTATTACTTCACACACGTGTTTCCATCGCACTCATGCTGCTTTGCATGGATGCGGTGCATTGTGACAGACTTGGCTCCCAGGCTTTGTTTAATTCAACACCACACTGCTTTAAACTAAAGGATGTAACTGGTGTGGCAACTGATGTGTGTAATCTCAGCACCTGGGAAGTTGAGACAGGAGGACTGCCACAAATTTGGGGCCAGCCTGGAGTACAGAGTAGAACTTATCTCAACAAAGCCAAGCAAAATAAAACAGAAGGCCATGCAGTTACAAGTAAATTCATCTAGCAAACCTCTAGAAGAGAGCTGAGGTGACAATCTAGTGACAGGGGATCCCGCTGAGGGTCATTAGCAGTAGAAACTACTCAGATGAGGGGGCTCTGGAGGAGGCTAGGCAGCCAGCTCCCAGAAGGAAGGAGAAGATATGAAGGGGAGGCTGTTCCAAGGGATTGGAAAAGTCAAGGGGCCATCGGTCCACTGGTAATGCAACTCCACTGCTGCATTCAAAAAGCTTTGCTCAGCTTGATCAATACATACCAACTTCCACTTGACAATTCCTTAATGCTACTATATGCTGAGACTCAACTTAAGTGGTTGGGATACTTTTAAAATCAAATGAAGTATAAGCAGATTAAGAGTTGTGTTCATTGCTTTGAGCAATCTCCTCTGTTGGATTCTATGTTTAATATTTCTTCTTCTTCACATGACCACTTATTTCTTATAGTAAAACATCTGCCTGATCATATATTAAGGAACACTTTAAGGACTTCTCAATTAAATTCAATTCCTGACTGCCTAGTATGAAAAAGTGTTTGTTGACTTCCAGGCAAAGTGAGTTACTTAGTTTAAGAAGGAAAAAATTAGAAACTCAGAGGTGCAGAGCAAGGATCTGCATGGGGCACCACTCCTCTGAATGTCAGCAAGTTCCTAGGAGTGAAACCAAAGAGAAATTGAGTCTCTAGGGTCTTTCTGCTGGCCTCTTGACACCTCATGTCCTCTACCAGGTAGGCATAGATCTGGCTTAAACAGGTTTCAGGCACTTACCTCCACAAACACAGCACAGGTGCAGCAGAGACAACCCACTCTCTGTGCGGTAGTTTAAACTGACTTCACTGAAGGCTTCATCAGAGCTGAAAAGGACATGACAAGCAATCAGAAACTCATCTCTTAGTATGTTGCCATTTGTTTGAGAAATAAATGTTGGTTTATAAATTCATAACTGTATTTTGCTATACAATTTTGGGGCTAGAAGAATTTTGAATGTTCTATATGAAGAACAAACCTTGAAAATAATATTAACAATTGAAGTGTAGTTGGAAGATTTCCTGTGTCCCGGCCTGGCAGTGGTTGATAAATCCCACTCACATCCCCCAAGTAAACACACAGAGGCTTATATTAATTATAAATGCAGGGCCATGGCTCAAGCCTTTTACTAGCTAGCTCTTATATCTTAAATTAGCCCATAACTATTAATCTATGTATCACCACATGTTCCATGCCTTTACCTGCGTTCCATTACATGTTTCTCCTTGGGTGGCTCACTGGTTTCTTTCCCTGCCTTCTTCCTGTCTCTCTCTTTGAATTTCCTGTCTCCAAACTGTCTTGCCATAGGCCAAACGGCTTTATTTATCAACCAATCAAAGCAACACGTATTTGCAGCACACAGAAAGGCATTCTCCATCAGTTGAAGGGCTCAAGTTAAGGTAGAGACACACACACACACACACACACACACACACACACACACACACACACACTGTGCTCCAATATATTAATATAATTATATAAACATATAATTTAATTTTGTCAAGCTCCTTATAAAGAAAACACAGACATCTTAAAATAAAATTATTTCTTTCACATTCAAACATTCTTATTATATTTGTAGAAAAATTAAGATATTCACAAAAGGAAGGAAGGAGGGGGAGAGAGCAAATGTTGTGCTGTATTTGATAGGAGGGTGGAAAAAATTATAACCCAAATGTTTGACAATTCTTGCTTGCAGCTATCATTCCTTGTACTCTGACTGGGTCAGCTTCCTCAGATCAGGGAGGTCTGATGCCTGGAGAGGTGCTGTGATATGGTAGCTGTTGAGGAGAGGAAGGATTCTTTGCCTTTATACTATCAAAGACTTTGTCCCCAAGAGGGCCCTGGGAGCTACAGGTAGCCTTTCAACAGGAAGTTGGAGATAAAATTCTTGACCTCGTCAGGCCCTTGGCACTCCCAGGACATTTTTTCTGTAGAAACAAGATCATGTCCTTGGCCTCTGGGTCAGCTTCAAGGGGCCTCGGGCCTATTTTAATCTTGGCAGCTCTAGAGGGATGACTGGTCTCCGGTGGGGGAGCCAGTGATTCCCATCACCTTTAAAGCACTTACACTTGAAAGACTTAATAAACTTGGGCCATTTGCATCAAGGCTCCCAGTTAAGAACTTCAAAGGCTATTGGAATTTTGAAACAGAAAAAATTCCATTCTCTAGGGTGCTGCTAAAAAGAGAAGGCCTTTAAATCCAGGAACCTTAAGAGGCCCCAAGAAAGGCTTTAATTAGCAACTCTAAGCCCTGTGGTCTGTTTTCATAGACATGGGGATATTCTTCCAATGAACAAAGCAGGCTCGGCTGCCCACACTGGAAATGCATTCAAGTTGCATGAGTTTGCCCTTGCTCAGAGGGAGTAGGAGATGGTTTGTTCTGAGCCAAGTAGAGTGGTCACAGCCTGGGAATGAAGGTCCAGGTCGCTCTACATTTCATATTCCAAAGCAAAATTCAGATGGGAGCTTTTGCAATCTCCAAACAAAACAAAGGTCGTCGATCAGATCATTTAATAAAATATTTTAGCTTTACTTTTAACATTTTGTGTTCTGTGTTTCTGTGTGTGGGTATGTGTGTGCACATATGTCTGGAAGGGGCCTCAGATCTCCGGAGCTGTAATAGTTACAGGTGGCTATGAGAGCCTGTATGAAAAATGTGCTTGGGTCCCTGGTAAGAGCAGTATGTGCAGTTAAACTCTAAGCCATCTCTCCAGCACCGTAAATCATTTTATTTACTCAAGACCTTGGTCAGGAGAGAGGATACAGAAAAGTGGGGAAATCTCTGCCACAAGTTCAAGCTGTATCTGATGGTATTCTGAGCCTCTGGGCTGATGAAAGCTGCTGGCTTATTTGTTAATATTCTGACCCGCGCCTTGAAATCTCACCCCTTGGGGCCACCCTGCATCCTGAGGTAAAAGCCTCACTTTAAGGAAAAGCTCCTCCCCTTCCTCTCTCTCTTTCACTCTTTCTTCCCTACCCTGAGGTGTACACACCTCTGCTTTCTCTCCCTTCTCTTTCTCTCTTCATCTCTCTCTTATAATAAACTCTCCATGTGGATGCAGAGCCTGGGTGTGAATGACTTTCCCACACACTGCGACCCCCACTGCATCTGCCCATCATGTTTTCCCTCACGCGTGAGATACCCTGGCCCGGCCAGCTGGGGGTTCCCCACTCATGCAAATTCATACCACTATTGAGTTAATATATTCTAAAGGTCTTACTTGTAATTAAAAGGACATTAGTTCAAACACAGAAGGTGTGCACTAAGTGGCTAGTTAGGGGAATACTTATAGCCCAAGATATGGTCCTGGATCTGCAATATTCCAACACTCCACAAACAGAAAAGTTTTAACCAGTCAGACATCATTGTTGGGGATCTTCCCTGGAGCTGTCCTCTTCAGATCCTGCCCTGGAGAAAGGCCCCCAAGCATAGGCTCCACCCCAGAGGGTATTTAAGGCCTGGCCCATGGGCTTCCCTTTATGGGTTCCCCTCTTGACTTCTCCTCTTCCCCTGGGACCACCCAGGAATGCTTTGCTCAGATTAAACCTGGACTTACTAATTTGACCTGATCTGACTTATTACTTCAGTGTAGTTACTCACTACTGGGGGAATTTTATGTATCAGCTGGTGCACTGGCCAAGGTGAATGGAATCTTCCTGAAGCTATGTGGCGTTGGCAGTGGGAAGTACACCAAACCAACTTTACTCAGTAAGACACCATTTCCAAACCAAATGCCTATAAGGGGTCCAGGATCCCTTCCGAGCCTCTGACCCTCTGCCAGAGACTTCTGGAGCACCTGTCAAGATTGTTGCTATGCCAGTAATCTTCTGCCAGTTCCAGAGCAGGGACAGCCCAGCCCCTGCTCCTTGGAATTCTCCTGTCTGGAAGACCATCCTCTCAGAGACAGTTCCACACACTATTCCCCAGCCACTGGCTTATAAAATCGGACATGATTTTTTTTGCCTCCAGCCTCCCAGTGTAAAGCTTGTGAATGGTTGCTTCTGAGTCAAATTCGATCCACTATTGTTATGAAATTTATCCAAATTAGCCCCCTCATCCAGGTTTGAGAGCACTGCATTCCTGTCCCTTTTCCCTCCAGCTGTTTGTCTGTCTGCATCCTTGGCCCCTCCTCCCTGCTCTCTGCTCCTGATACCAAGGGCTCCATACCCAGCAAGTGGCTGTTGGCTCAGCTCCCCCTCCCCCAACAGCCTGGGAGATGCACAGCTTAATCTGCAGCTGACTGAGTTCTCCACATGGTCTTACCCCTCCACCAACTGCCCTCCTCGATTGATTCCCATGCTCTTCCCTCCACACCCCCTCTGTACAGTGCTGCCCTTGGGTTGGTTCATTCCCATGCTCTTCTGCTCTCCAGGCTCTGGTGTACTGCCGTTAGAGGAGCGTCTTTTACTCCTATATTTTCTTACCTGCTACTTTGTAAACTCTTCAGGATTTTTAAGTTGGTCATTTGACATGGCTTCTCAGGAAAAGTTTTGTTCATCTTTCTGTTAAAATGTCCCATCTACTATGTGTGTATAGATGGAAATGTAGCCATGGTATGCTTGCTTTTGACTGGTTTTGAATGCCTGAGTTTATGCCGTCTGTATGTCTTGATAACAGCTCATCTATGCTCACAACCAGATGCTTGGGCTCAGATTTTGCCTCTGGGATTTTCTGGCCCTGAATCTGATGTAATGACAGACAGTTATTTTATACTGTTCTACATTATTATAAAAAAAAGTTGGGTATGGTTTAAAATCTATAAAACTCATAACTCCGGATTAAAACTGCTCTGGAAATCACCACATGGTCTGCCAATACCTTACAACAGGTGGGCAGTCACCATTTTGGCTAATATAGAGAGGTCATATGACTTAACCGCCATCTTAGATAGAGGCAGCCATGTGGAGATGGGTCTACCAGGAGACATTAGGTCTCCAAATTACTTTGGATTAGGATAGATTTCTATATGATGATTCCTGTCCTGTCTTAAAAGGTTTATAAAAGATAGGATTTAAAACAATGCTGGTTAACTGAGTTTTTTGTTTTGTTTTGTTTTTTTAGACAGGGTTTCTTTGCACCTTTCCTGGAACTCACTTTGTAGCCCATGTTGGCTGTTTACTGAATTATTAAAGCTGCACCTCCATGCATTTATGTTCAGGGATATATCTTGATGAACAGCCAGATTTTATAGTATAAGACTATTCCCATATAATTGATTTTAAAAACACTAAATTGTTTGCTATGTTAAAACTTGGTTTTGCCTTATGATTATATCTTAGGACCACAGCTAAACACTAGAGACTGAATTATTCCTTCTAATCTTCTTGCTTTTACTAATATTGGTAATTAATTATTGGTAACTATAACTAATTGGTAACTAATTGGGCAAATTGTATGTCCAGATTTGGCTTATATACACTCCCAAAGTCAAGCCTAAGCAACATTTGTCTAATTCAGATATACCTAACAGATAATTATACCCTGATCCTCAAGTGCTTCAGAGATCTGAGAAAATGGCATTTTAATAAAAAGTTTCTCATGACAGAAACATGGCAGCTCCTGGCAGCATCCTGTAACCACCTCTAAGGAACATGGAAGAACTTACACCTGGAAGCTTGCTTTATGTGGCAAATCAAGCTATGTGGCAAGAAATTGCTTTGCACTTTAAACTGGTGCTAAGACCCCGCCCAGACTGGACAGCAGGAAACTGGGGAATCAGTTGGTCTACTTTGACAAGTCAAGGTAAGTCACTCTCCCCAAATTCCTACCCCACAGGAAAGTCTGTCATATCTTCTGGGCTTGGCAGCAGGAGACCTCAGTT